AGAGTACAGCGCCGTCCGCGCCGCCGTCTGAATTCCTGAGGGCCCAGAGCGCATTCTTCCAAGTGTCGCTGCTGCCACGACGGATGCAGCTCTCACCACGTATCACGCCATGAAGACATGCTGCGGACTAAAACCAGCGCAGGCCGTGTTCTGTCTCGGCCTGAGTGGAGTAGGGCTGAATATAGGCGTCGGGATCGCGAAGCTTAAGGGCTATTTGGGCGTGCACTGTCCAATTGCGTCGAACACACGCGAGTCTGCTATAGCTATGCAGAGCGCAGCAACGGCCGGCGTACGCTACACCGTTTCACCCGACGTGTGGACTTCGTTTTAGATTTCGTAGCGTACTAGCACACCTTCAACTTGTGCGTCATCGTAGTCCGACCGAGAGGAACGGCTGTCCATGCTGTGGGTTTTGACGCGGAGTCGCTGTCGGTCACACCAGTAATCGTCATGAAGAAAGGTCTCACGTTCCAGTGTGCTCAGGTCCTGGAGGACGACACGCAGCATGGGCGGTTGTGGGCAGGGAAGTATTGTTACCAGACTCACACCTGTAATAGAGCCGTCTCTGAGCATGTTCAGTTCCTCTCCGTGCTGAAATCGCGCATTTATAATACATATAAGGGTCTAGATACTCGATGAATGGAGTGAAGTATGATACAATAGACATTGTCCTTTTGCACGAATATCGCTCGTGACAAAGCCGGCCAGTGGTAGCAATGCGAAGATAACCACCGGCTACGTTCACGCATGAGAAGCCTGGAACCGAACTGAAGCGACCATGAGCTGGCCTGGAATAGGCTTGAACTTTTCGAGATACTCTTTGTAGGCATCACTATGCGACTATCAGTAGAAGCAACCCGTGCGCCGCAGATCGACCTACCTTGGCGGCCTGCGGTCAGCATAGATATTTCCCCACATGTAAACTTCCGCCGCGGCGATGGTCAAGATTGACTACAAGCTGCGCTCAGCAAGTCATGTGGCACGCGACGTGAGAAAGGCTACGTACGGGCATACGGGCACGCATGGCGCTGAGCATGGTGATGTAGAAAAAGGTTCTGGGGACGATCTGGGTTTTGCTGAACCTGACTGGACCCTCATG